CCCCAAAAAAAAACAACAACAACAACCCCAACACACATAACAAAACCAAAAAACCAAACAACCAAGAACCAACAACTAGAAGAAAAAATAATCGATTTTCCGACGAGTAGAAGAACGTCAGTTTTCTTTTCAACTTCCTAATGTTGTCATGACGAGCGTCTGATTTGACCACAATGCCTCCCATCTGACCAGTGGCGTGCCTGGTACAAGGAGAAAGTGACCACACTACAGGACTAGCTGGCAGGCTCAGACGTGGGAAGGACAGAAGGCGCTCGGAACTTTCCCCCTAGGATTCCCTGTCTTGTGTGAGACATTACCAGCTGACAATGACAATGACAATGACAATGTTTATTCATCTCGCAGGGAGAAATTTATCTTGGTCTTTAACAATGGCAGTAGACGTTACAAAAGTTAGGTGCACTCACAAACGCACAACAAGACAGGATATTAGTAAATGCGTGACAACCCGCTCCGTAAAACATTGTCTCTCTCTCTCTCCTGAAGACTTGACAGACAGACAGACAGACAGACAGACAGACAGACAGACAGACAGGCAGCTAAACAGACACATAAACAGACACATAAACAGACAGATAAACAGACAAACACGCACACCAAGGGTATATGAAAAGGTAGAAACATTTAAGTTTAACCAGGCTTAAAAACGAAATGAGTAGCACTGGGAAATCTGATCTGACTGTCCTATAATTTACCACAGCATCCACGTCACGATATATTCCAGCTACATTCCCCACCAGTTCAAATACGTGGTAATTATTTATGTATTAGCACGTGGGTGGTTGGCGGGTGCTCTGGTGTGCTTTGCTCTTTTTTGTTATCAAACATCAATCGTTCATATCTCTCCTCCAGTGTGTTTTTTTTTGTTTTTTTTGGTATGTCAGTCTCCTGTAAAACCTCGTATCTTCTGCGCTTATTTGACCTTTTCATGTTACAAGTGCCGTAAACTCTTACATGAGTTAAATAAAGTTTAGCCAGACGAGAAAGTTTCTAAAGTGAACTCAGCTATCGTCGACCGTCTGTTGACATGCACGCAGGAGACCAGAGTTTGAATCCCGAGTGCGGAGAAATATTATTGAGTATCTCGGTCTGTCTACTGGGATGTTGTATCCCTCTCAGCCCGGGTCTGTCCGCTGGGATGTTGTATCCCTCTCAGCCCGGGTCT